CATTTATATTCATTAGATATGAATATTGTTTAGGAAGGAAAGTTACATTTATATTAATTAGATATAAATATTGTTTAGGGTGGAAAGTTTAATTTTGTAAACAGTAATGTACAACGTACTGATACAAGTAATTTTTAAAATGAAATTTTGTCTCTCATTGCCAAAACACGATGACAAGTTCTAGTACTGGATAAAGAGCATCCTGAGACAAGAAAAGTGAGAAGCTAAAGAACTATTTTATACACTTCAGATCTGAAATTTATACTCGAAAATTAAGAAGAATGTGAAACAAAATCGGCAGTATACATGATTTTTATCACCAATATTAGATCTCCTGGTTTATAATGCTTCACCAGTTTATAACTGATGTCTTAATTTATTTCTGAAATAATAAAAATGAAATGATAATAAACATCAGGGCAACGTCTGGTTAACAGGCTTACTTTGAAGATATTTACTACGATGGATGCGTATGATATTGAAGACAGGCTCGTGTAGCTTGAAAAGTCCTCGTGCTTCGAATGTTGCCATTTACTTTTAATCTCCGTAATCGTAATCAATTGAAATGCTATCACTTTTCAACAACATTTTCTATATTTGTACAAGGGCAGTCTGTAAACATGATTACAGTCCATAGTTCTGAACTTTGAAAACTAATGTTATATTAATATGAATCACGTTTTAGATTTTCAAAGCCTAGTGGTATTTTTGAAACCAAACGAAAAAAGTAGAAGAAGATTTATTATATCTTTTTATTAATGTCGGTTAAGATATACAGGGGGAAAAAATCAGTCAATAATAAATGTATTTATTATTATCAATCCTGCAACGTTTTGTTTCTTCGTAAAAACATTATGTTTATTAAAAAACAATGTTTTGATGTACTTTCTCTGATCAGTTAAACGCTGAAAGACTGGATTAAGCCTTATAAATCAAAGAATTTGTGTCCACTTTTCTTAGGAGCCTAGGTGGGTCGATTTTTTGATAGTATAAACAGTAAAGGAATTGTGATTGTAGTGCTGCCCTCTACCGTGGTTGCTATGAATACGTCATGTCCTGGGAAGGCACTCATTTGTGTCGGGATGAAGCTATATATGTCAGTTTGTGTTGTATACAGTACTATTACTTCATTTTACGTGTTCACAGAGTGTTGATAAAGTGTTTCAAGTTACTTAGTTATTTCTGTTTGTGCGTGGAAGACTTGCGAAGTAACGGGAAAAATTCAGTGTCGTTCGAGCCTGTCATAATAAAGAAGTAAACTATATTAATTTTTAAAAAATGAAGATATTAAAATAGGTTGCCGGTGACGGATTCGTGGATATTTTCCGTGAGATATGAACATCACGTATTCCAGATGACATGACATCGGATTGTCTTAGACTAGCGAACCATCACCCTGATGCAAACAGATTTTCTTTTCTTTTGCAATTCAAGATTTATTTAAAACTTTGTCATAAGAGTCGTCCACGTGGCGTAGACTGCTAACACTTCGGGGGAGTCGGAATTTCGTTCAACACCTGGTCCTAGTTCACGCAGCGGGTGGAGGAAATCCTGTCAGTAAGTGTATTGTGAGTCTGTTTATTCATTTGTTGCTGAGGGCTGTGTACCGGATGCCGGCTGTACTACAGTGTTTAAAATATGCTTTTGTTCGAACACGTGAACAAGTTTTACAAAGTGAATGGCCACTATAGCTGAAATTAAATTACTGGACACTGCCTTGCCCAGTTGGAGTTTCGCAAGATAATCACCGATAAGGGATTAGGGTATGTCAGTTTGAGTTTGTCACACTGCAGATTGAACACTTGTTTTAACATTAGTACCAATATTTTCACAAACAGTATCTTACCGAAAAAAATAGGCTGCTAGTTCTTTCTTCAAATATTGAATAATCCCAACTTAATAAATTCTACCTCAGGAGTCAATGGAATGTGAAATAAAACTTAATGGTGTATAACAGATATGATAGGTCGATCGAAACATTACTCCTACCATGTGCTACAACCGAGTGAACCACTTCACACTGCAAGAACAAATACGTGCGCATAAATATCGAACAGTTAATTATTAAGGTCAAATGAACCTCAACTATTCCTCGTGTATTAATGAACATGGACATCAAGAAAGATTAGTATGATTGTTGTACAGAAAAAAACTACGGATGTAGTAACGAGGAAAAGACTGTCTTTACAGGGATGTTCATTGTTTTCAAGTGTTACTTCCACGGTACAATGTGTTCAGAGTCTGTATGTCGATCTGCTAGGTGGTTTCTAGTGAGTATTCTTTTAGGGGTGTATGTAGGATATTGTACACAGATAAGCCGTTTTTCCTCAGAAGCAAGACTTGTTTGGTGGACAGCTAAGGTTGATCCTGATTTCAGCTACGCCGAAAGTGACAAAAATATAAGAAGTAACAGAACTCGTGTTACAAGATCTTCTTTGTTTATTAAAGTTCCAGATTCTACGTTAGGTAACACACATAATAAGACAATGAAAAATATATATAACGGAACACTTAGCGGACTTCAAAAGTTGATTTTAGATTATCATTCTTCTCTTCAAAAGGTTAATTCTACCATCGTACCAGGCCTTAGTTTTATTATGAGCACTGAACCTTCCCAAGATAACCGTAAGATTGTACCCATAGAAACAGAAGATATGTCTATATCAACCGACAAAAGTATATTTGATGGTTTCTCAGAAACCATAGAAACACCTGCCGATATTAATGTAACTACAACAACTGAAGCATATTCTGCTACTGAGCTTACACCTGTAACTTTAACTACTCCAATTCATACATTGAATGGATACATTTATTCGAAGCAGTTACAAATAAAACCTTCTGATTCACTGCCCGTCGCGTTATTAGAATTATTCACCAAAACCCCAGAAAACAAGACAGACTTTATGATATCCTCTAGTTATGTTGGCACAAGTGCGTGGAATCGTTTGTTGACGTATCCTGTTAATTCTGAAGTGAGCATGGACCGAGAATCTCGTGTGTCACAACAAGAATTCGTCACGGCACCTACTATAGCGGTCAGCGCTGACCAAGGACTTCATCCAGCAACTGGTAATTGGAATCTTGGACAGTCGAGAACTTTCCAAAGAAAGGATATGGAGGTACCACGCAATCAAGAGTCATTGCACATCGGAGAAATACCATCATTGTTTATTAAAAACCAATCTGTTACAAAAACCCCATTGACACCTATGCTTTTCTTAGATCCAAAACGTTGGCACAAACCTAATTCTTCGACCTCTTTTGTTTCAAAACACCACGAGACACGTGGGTTGTCGGGTGTCTTAAACCAAATGATTCTAAATAACCCACGATTTTTAGGAACCTCAACTCGTCACGAAACTCGGTATAGTCAAGTTTTTCCTGAAGATGAACATCAAAATGAACCAACACAACAAGAAACTTACCGTCTTAGCCAATATTCTCTAGGCTTGAAAGATGAGCCACTACAACAACCTTCTTTCTTTTTCAGGCAATATTTCCCTTTGTTAAACGGACCACAGCAGAATCCAATCTTTTTCAGACAAGCACATCCTCTAGACGTTCATTCACTACAAGAACATCCTATATTCATCAGACAGAACCACCGTCTAAAAGGTAATTCGCCACAACAAAGCTCAGACTTCAAACGCGACCGTCCATTATTGAGTTTAGACAGTCAATTTTCCTTCAGCACTATTGCACCTACATTAGGGCATTCAGAAACTTACACTTACAGAAACGATAACTTGTTTTTAGTACCAGGATACATCACCTCTAATGAGAGGAAATCTCTAAGAAAGGATCATAATGTTAAAAATACACATACAAGTAGTGGCGTTACATTAGAAAACAAGTCGTTTTTAAGTTCTAGTGGTAACTTGTCGAATAGTGGGTTACCTGATCCTCAGACTGATGTTTTAGACAACCATGGACATTATGTTAAAATTCCGAACAGCAGTGTTTCTGTCGACCTAGAGGGCGCGTCTGTTTTCGCTAGTACTTTTTTTCCTCATCTGAATAAAAATAATGTCGGCACTATAAATCCACAGACGAACCCAAAATACGAAGGAAAAGACGAATATGTTACTAAATTAGATACGGAACTTAGCAACAGTCGGTCTGATCAAGAGATTAATTATGGTAGTTTTAAACTAACCACTGAACACTTAGCTTATACACTAATTGGCTCATGCTGTGGATTAAGCGTAGTTTGTCTTATTGTAATAGCTGTAACTCTTAAATGTCGAAAATTGTATGTCCGGCGGAAGTTACGACATGTAAAGGAGGGAGACTTGGTTGCTACCGAAATCGCTAGATTTCATAATCAGTCTTATTGTATGCAGGATCGAGGGGACTACATGACACAGTTAAATTTACCTACCAGTAGTTCTTCTAAAAGTTGTGAATCGTGCATATGTAACTGTAGAAGTGATCCTTTTACAGTTGGTGCTCGAAATTCCGACCCCTTATCATTTCACTACCAACGCTACTCTAGGCCTCGAAAACTACCGTTTGGAGCGGCATCTGCTTTACACTTCGAAACGTTGGGTATTAATAGTCGAGTGAAGATTAAACGAACACCATTTTTGCCTCATTGCGAACAAAACAGAAACAGATCCGGGCATCAGAGTTGTGAAACTGTATCTACAGACAGTCACTGTAATTATTCAGATTGTTCCAGCATTTCTGGTTCTCAGGAGTGTCCGTGTATTAACTCAAGCGATTTGGGTTTGCAAGAGAACAAGCGTAATACATCTAATAGGAATTCATGGATTCAATGTGCGTGCATGTTAGATGAGATTAATCAGCGTCGCACAAAAACCCCTAAAGTGCCACAGCCCTCGAGATCAAAAGAGCGTTACGAAGGTAGTCTAGCATTTGATAATAATTGTAGAACCCGGATGTCAGTCTCCTCGTCTCACTTATATCGCACACCTGCTCCGTTAAGGGAAGCGCTCACTAGATTTACTTCCCATTGCTCTCCACTAGAAAGTTCTCATGAATTAAGCCAAATAGAAACAGCATTGTATCCGCCTGTGTCAGGTTCAAATTACCTGAGTAATTCAGATGGAGTGATCTTCTGGTCATCAAACGATGAAAGATTAATCTGAATAACAAAATAGAAGTATGTGTAATAATAATTCACGAACAATGTGTATTTATTCGCTGATAGTATGCATTTGCAGTGTATCTTAAGCCACACATATAAAATGTCATTGTATTTTTCCCGTGCCCATAATGTTTACTTATGTACATTCAAATATTGGTATAAAAAATCGGAATTTTTGTGTTCTCATTCTGTAATCAGGATTTAATGGTTTTACCTGTTATTACTAAGTTTAGTAAAAGATAATAAAACTTTTTAAATACAAAGTTTTGTGTTCCTCGTGATATATATGGTAAATTTTTGAAAATCAGTTTTATGTCATATATTAAAGTGTCAGAGTACGTATAATGTAGGTGTAATTGCGGTAATTCTATATGTATGTTCAGCCAGGGTGTATGTTTTAGGTTAGTTTTACAAAGGAGAATATGTATGTACATAGTTCATTTAATTCTAAAATAGATAATCTACAAAATATAAACAAACAACAGTAGTTCGTACCTATGAATTCTTTAATGCCTCGTATACTGTATATTCGTTTATGAATACGGAATTTTGGAACCTGAGTCCTATAAATGTAAATAGTTCCGGCGCGACGTGTTTTGTTGCATTGTGCAAATGGATGTGCTGCCGCCCTGGTGGCACCGGCCAGCTAAAGAACAAGAGTTATTTGACTACCTAGTCCTTTATTGTCTTATAGTAAATAGTACTTTTATTTTGTTTTTATTTTAAACTTAAAAAGTAAATAAGACAAAGTATATCATAAATGTATGTATAAACTGAGCATCTAAAGTGTCTCTAAAACATTTAAGATTTTCTTTTGTGCTTTAATTTTAAAAGTCAAGTAAAACTGGACGACATTTATATGAAAACAAATTTATATTCTTGATTTTTTTCTAATATTGTGTATGTTCACTTTTTCCGGAATTTTAATTAAATTTTGAAAGTTTATGGATTCTAGAAACAATTTCATAAACATGTGGACATTATGATAATTTTGAACAGGGAGTATAAGTAACCTCAATTTTTATGTGAAATGTATTTTTAGTGTAAAGAAATTTAAAACGCAACTATATGTAGGTACTTTGTTTGAATTGAGTTAAAAATGCAATGTGTGCCTTGTCACGCTGGGTCTTTTTGCTCGACAGTTGTAGTTATTCTCAGATAAAATTTGCAATTCTTAAACTGCCGTAATGTATACAAGAAAATGAATATTTTATCTCTAAATAAAAACAATTTGATTAGGTAGCACTGTTTAATAAATCTTCCATTCTCCAAATTTTCGAGTTTTTTTTTTAGTACTTTAAATATATATTACATCCCAGTTTATTATTACTGTTTTTATTTCAAATTTATATTGTTCTGACACACAATTCGATTAAGGTCAAAAAATCAAATAAAGGATTTTAAAAGGTGATTATCTTTCATCCAGAGTAAACTTAGTATTATAATACTTGGTTCAATTTGCTGTATTAACACAAGCAATTGTGGTTTATATATTTTAATATGTGTTAATATACTTTAAGTTGGAAGGGCATTGTGTATATGGTTATAAGTGCTTATCCCATATTATCTTGATAAATACAGAGTGAAAAATAATGACGAAAAAGGTTGTTAAAGATTTTTTTTTATAAAGATTAATGTAGATTTAAAACTATTAGTATTATTTTACCGTAAAATTTTGTTTAGATATATATACACCCTGACAATAAGTAAATAGACACCCACTACAAAAGAATACCATTTTGTTATGTAAGCTAAAATTAATCAAGAGGTAGAAAATCAGTATTTAGTGGACCTGCCATTTGCAGAATTTAGGGTTGCAGCACATTGCACATTGTATTAACAAGATCTGGGTCTTTGGAATTCCTGTTGAAGAACTTGAATGAGGATGTTCTTAGAAGTTGTTTGTTTGAATGTTTTTGCAGAGAATAATCAAGGATGCTTGATATGGTCCATATCCGATGTGAGATCTGGTGACCTTCAAGTAACCGTTTTGTGACTCCGATTGAATGAATACGAGTCTCATCTTGCATAAAAACATTGCCTTGTCTGGTAAACTGGTCATTGGCGTAGACGGGAAAAGGCCTTACTCGAGTATTGTGACGTATGAAGCAGCAGTAATTGTCACTTCCCATACCACCAGTTGTAATCGTCCAATAGCTCAAATGGCATCCACATTATAATAATCTATAATACCTGAACATGAGAATGCACATCTGTTAGTTTACATTTTGGATGCGAATCTTCGATGTACATTATGAGGTCCAACTGCTGAATCTACATCCAGTGGTCCAGCTGTTATGAGCGCAATGTTAGGTTCAACTGTTGCATGTACAACCAGTGAGCCTTACCGTTAGAACTACGTTTAAAGTCTAGCTGTTGGGTTATGTTCTAGACGTTGCTGCTGAGAATATCTTACCGATATATCTGAAATATATATGATTTATATATATGAAATTTACGCTTTAAGATTCAGTTATAATAAGATTTATTTGAACTTTTGTTACAATCGCAGTTTGTGTGTCACTTAAATATTATAATCGTAAAATTATTGGCAGGCATAAAACAATGAGGAACAGATCACTTAAATATGTTGAAAAGTCAGTTATATACGTAGGTGCTGGTCACTGTATAAGAAGGTCAGTTACATATCAACACATTTAACATAATCATTAATTTTATCTTCTTATTGTGTGAATTGAATGTAATTATTTATCATTAATTTTACTATCAGATAATAAAATCTGTTTTAACTGCAAAATGTTACATGCTTTTAATTTGTTTTGTGAAAGTGACAAAGCAGATACAACAATTTTCTCATATGGCAATTAAAATGCCCAAATTTGAGGTGTTCAGTCAGGTGCCAACCACTTTTCTTGATAAAACGGTGAAAATACTATAGCCAAAAAATAAACTTTCAAAAAGAAACATTATAAAGCGTGTTTAAAAGTTAATGTTTTAAATACAGTTTGTAATGTTATGTATTATGTAAGTATTCGTAATTTATTTGTGTGTAATTTAGTAAATATAACCTGTGTGAAAAATTAATTACATTTTATTACATAATTCTTCCAATTGAGTGCTACTACTATAAAGTTCAGTATATTGTGTGAATGTTTAATATTTAATTATTTGTAAACATTCATGATATGATTGTACTTTATGCTATCCTGTGTATACATTACTAAGAAAATTATAACTTTTTAATTTATTAAAATTGATCAGATTGTTACACTTACGTTTTTAAGTTTAATAAATTCATGTTAAAAACAACAAGCTTGACCAGCGTGGGTCATTCGTTTTACACAGGAAAATAATCGCAGTGCTATGATTAACTACAACATATTAATATATCATCTCCTGAGTTACAAGCAACCAAGCTGGTAACAACAGGGAATCGTTTCTGAATAGGAAAATGTGGCATTCTCTTAGAAATCACAGGCGAGGAGCAGTAGTTAACGGTTCGGGCTGTGTATCGCAGGCTCCAGGGCTCGAATCGTGATGCAACTGAATATGTTTTGCATTTTAGCTGTTGGCGCGTTATAAAAAAGACAATCCCCTCGGTTCCAAGAGCCAGATAAAGCTTTTGTGGCGGCGATTATTACTGGCTGTTAATATTATAATATTAGGGAAGGCTATACGTGAATCATAGGATCTATGACCTAACTGCTTAGCCCACATGCACATAAAGTGTGGTTCAGGTTGGATATTTCAATTGCTTTTTTTCAGGTACATGATAACAATAATAACACCATTCTTCATCCCTTTGTAATAGCATGTACTACCAATATCTAGTACAGAAAGAATTGGTTAATAAGAACTGGTATTAATGTTCTCGAGCACAATCAGTTCTTCTTCGTACACTCTAAAATGGATTGTGACTGAACTAGTGATACTTATAGGCTCGGAACAATTATTGTTTGACCAATTAAAGGCTTGGAACAAAGGCTTTCAACCAAACACAGGTTGAAACAATGGTATTTGACCCATGCACTATAGGTATTTTTTCCTTCTCGAAGTTACAAAGACGGACAAAACACTTGTGGCAGTGGATGTTGACTGTCTGATTTTCTTCTGATCAGCAGTTCAAAATTAGGGACGGATATACATGAACCCTATGGTTATCTGCCCTGCCCGTCTAGGCTAGTTGCGCTTCAGGTGCCATTCAGGTTAAAATTACCAAATACCAGAAATTTGCCAAAGAAGAGACCAATAAAGCTAATCTATATTACAAAGATTTAAGAAAGTTCACTATTTAAAAGGTTTATGTACTCGATACTTCTGTAGTAGTGAATGTTCATCAAACATACATAACCCATTCATCATTCTTAGAGAACATCCGTGTCTTTATGAATCTTTAGTTAGATTAGATTTTACCTCATGGAGGTATGTATACATATTAAAGATATACTCATGAAATAACAATGTTTAGCGACAGTGACGTGGACAGGTATGCGAGGGAAGCTGGGTAAGCTAAAGATCCTGCTTTTCTGCTCTTATACCTCCAGAATGCCCTTTTCTCAGTCATAAAAATTGTACATAAATACTGAAAGACACGCCTGAGTCCACACCTTACTGGCTGCGAGTTATTAGAGGAGAAATATTTCAGCTTTAAATTGAATGGCACACAAGAACCTTACATTAAAAAATATAGTTATGATATGTATTAATTGTTAATAAGCATGGATTCATAGTTTAGTTTCAGATCTTAAAAGTATTTATAAGACCAACTGAATAGGAGTAAAATATGATCTGTTTGCTTCTTATTGCTTTTTACATTATGTGTATCAGAGGCAACCCATAGACTCATCTAACATCAACTCCCCCACCCCCAATAAAAAAACAACAACAAAGAAATCTTGTTTTACAATGCTTGAAAAATTTCCTTTTTTGTCAATGAGCACCCGCCCTTTTTAATGTCCTCTGCATGTTACTTTTTAGCGACATCATTTTGTTACGATTTCTTTCAATACATCGAAAGTTCAGTAACTGACACAGGCACAAATACCTATCGTACTGGTTGGATCAAGTGCATGATCCCTTCCCCCCAAACATTTTGGGAGCCCCACAAAAGTTAACAATCAACAGTAATTTAGGGCAGTGTCCCCAACCT